TTGCAACGAAAATACTGCAAGTGTCTATTTGAGACTTAATTAGTACCGAGTTGTTGCCTATAGTTATAAGCTCACTTCGTCCTTAAATATTGGTAAGTTTCCAGTAAGAACTGGCAAGGCGACCTTCACTAAGAGCTTTAGTTCACAAAAATATCCTTTATAATATTTTTTAGCATTACCTTTTTCGTGTCATAAATTTTTTCAATTATGCATATCACCAATCGCGAACTAGTTATACAATCTGTCATTAGATTAGAAATATGCTAACTTATTGATTTTACTTTTAGTCTATCAATTGCATAAGCATTGTATCCTGTCTATAGAGGCCTATACATATGTATATAACAACAAAGTGTGTCAACTCATCAATCATGAAATGATTGTTGCCTCTTTATCTGAAGCATTTTTTTGCTAAATCGCATACCTCTCCATATTTTATTTATAGGAAATACAAAATCATTTAATGAATGAGTATGAAATCAAATGCCATTAAAATATCAATAGGTATCCCCGGCTTTGATAAGATAGTCTGTCGTTGAGTGAATTTTTGTATTCTTATTACCATACGAATGTATATATTTGTATGCGTTCGCAGCGCATGTGAGCAGCGTGTTCGAAGGTGAACCGCTCACTTCGAATGCAGAACTAACTTCGTGTTGGCATGCGGCTGAAAGCACAGCGCGATTATAGCTACACACACATATTGATGCACATGTAGAAACAAGACTATATGCCTTCGATTTTATCAATTATTAAACGCCTTTTTAAACAATTGCCGGTTCAAGGAATTGTATCAAGGTATGTATATAAGCAAAGTTCTGCAAATTCTATAAAAAAAAAGCTCTGTTATAAATGTGATTTACTTACAGTGTGAATTTCTAAGTAAAATGTATGATTGTTCATATTTCAATGAATGAACAACAACGTGCTATTGCACGTACATTCGTAAATATCGCAAAGAAGTATAAAATAACTGGAGAAAGCAGAACATGATTTCACAGCGTTTCATTGCGAAATTTTTGGAACAAAAAATTTTCTTTTACATTAACTCTTTGGGCATTAATTTCGAAGTAATGGGATTTTAAGATTAAATGCGAGACTTTATATATGGCGTGAGAAAATCCTAGGGTCAAATAYTATTTTTAATGAGAAGAAATTTAGTACCTCTTATTGATAAAAATAGAAAGAAGTTTACCTAAAATTTATAATTTTTAATTAAATGAACCCTGAATATGAGTCGTGTCAAGCTWTCATATTATTTTTGTTCAGTGTTATTTGTCGTTTCATCATATAACGTTTACAAGTCATTCAACTTTAATTCGAAAATTCACACTGTGTAAAGAATGTGTTTTGCGAGCTGTGTCCCACTTATGGTCAATATAATCGGCCTACTGGGTCATCATCCATCTTGAGATCCGCYATTCATTATTGGTTAATATTCGACCGAAAAGACATCGTCCAGCAAGCAATGAAGGAAATACAGCAGCCATAGTTAAGAGTACCACCAATACCGTGGAGAATCGATTCATCGCCATTCGCAGCAAAAATAATCTTCAAAAAATAAATACCAAAGRATGTTCTTTCGAATGATAATAAACATTTCTCATTAAATTTCAATTTCTGTATTTTTCTTGAAAAAGCTATTGCCTTAAAACGAAATAAACGGAAGCGATTGACATTGCTATGAAACGGAAGAGATGACAGCATTCATAAATTTTTCTGAKAAATTTTTTGGGATAAACGCATTTTGACAGTTTTGCGTGTGGCACACACGTAGTAGCAATGTGAGATCACTCGATAAATGACAAACTCCAAACAACAAATCTTAAACACTTTATAAAAAAAAAACTAAAACCAAAATAAAATAAAAAAAATTAAAAGTCAATAAAAATTAAGTACTTACAAAAAATATGAAATCATTGAGAATTATTGAGAATTATTAATGTGCACACAAGAAAAAAAAATTAAAGCCAAAAAATAAATAAATAAAATTTTCATCATAAAAATAGAAAGCAATTTGTCTGCACAAATGYACACTAAAATGTCTAAAATTGCTCTCAAACGAAAATAACCAGAATGCAATCCATTACTTTACAGCTGTCAAYAGGCAGCTCAAATAATTCTTAAAAGAAAACTTCAACATAACACTAATGCCTTCAATTTGTTTGTTTGTTGTGTTTGCTTTTTTGGCCATCAAGAAAATAAACCAAAATATATTTGAAAACAAAAAAAACAGAAAGCTACAAAATTAATATTTTCGTGGGCATAAACGTCCTTCGTTGTTTTCTGAAGCTTGCAGTGTTGCTATTTTGTAGTTACACATATATGTACATCAACACCGACGAAACAATGTTGCTGGTGTGGTGAGTTTCGCTCAGCAAGCGATAAGTGTAGCAACAAAAGCGTTTTATCGTAAAAMGATATGAAAAGGAAACGGAAACGAGCAGCTTTTCACTTGTGAGCGCATAAAAGCATGCGAATTCAGTGAGATAWAGAGAGAAAAAGGCAGCTGACGTGAGAAAAAGCTTTCGTACGCAATGTGTTGGCATGTTGCAGCGCAGCATGTTGCCAAACAATCTTGCGGCAAGCGTCAGCACTATTTTGCACACAGTAAGTTGTTGCTGCCTTATAAATAAATTAAATTATTTATTTCGTTTTATTTTCCTGACGAACTATGCATGACGTCACTCCGCAAATATTCACAACGTCCAACGCACAGATTTCCCATTGTTTACTTTATGCCGCGAAGAATAGAAGAATMACTTGGATACTTGTGATTTGTAGAATTCACGTGATTGGAAAGTTTTCACACTCACACAAAGCGCTTCGGAAAAGACTACATATTATTTGTTTCACACATTTTTAGCGGTGTCACTACTATAAATAAATAAGCGCAACGTAGTAACTGAAATTACGCTGACGAGCCGCTTTCACATGTACTAAATTACGCTGAGAAATGTTGGCGAGCCGCGACAATGACAGCAAGCAGAGATATCAAATTAAAATTAAACAAATCGAATTATCGTTATCAGAACACAAATGATTGTAYGACTGACAGCGCTGAGGCACTAGGTGGGCAATTAAATAAAAAGCAGRAATGTACAAAGAAAAAAGTATGTACATATATATTCTAGAGATTTTACTAATTGTAAAGGTTGACAAATAGTTCGTTGGTCTCCGCATTTTAAAAATTTTTTTATTTTATTTTTTGTTACCTTTTTGATAAAGCCATCAAGCCCGAAAAAGGGTGAAGTATCAACAAAAACTRTGAATTCAGTTATGTTAAGAGCTGACAAACAATAAGTGACAATAAGATAAGTAATTAGTTGCTCTCAGCGGCACAATTTTCTTTTAGCATATGGTATGTGACTTGGAGGAAATGATAATAGAATTTTTTTGTTGTAAAAAGTTAACATAGAATTTTGCATATCTCATGGGAAAAAGTTTAAGAATAAAACAACGAATTTAAGATTTCCTGGTCTTCACAACGAATGAATCGAGTTAAATAAAAAATATCTCTATACAGAGACTTGGGGTTCGATCTGAATGATTTCTTCCTCAACATGTCTTGTTGATTACTTATGTATACATTTTTTTGGGTCTCTAAGTTTCCTTCCGGCTGTTATAAACTTCGTGGCAAACTTATTATAAKCCGTGTTCATCTTATAAAAAGACTATTTCTGCAAAACACAACTAAGCATGACAAATCTGCAATTAACCTAATACGAGTAAATCTAGCTGCTATCCGGAAGTTACTCAGAATATGTTAATCATCGCATAGCAAAAMCAAAAGCACTTCATTTCATTTCCAATCCACTTCTGTCTGCAAATGTGTACGATTAATTCAATTTGTGCGTCGCCTTGAAGTCCCCGATAAATGCTCTGAATGAAGCCAGCAGTGAAGGCTTGAAAGCGCACAGACAGGCTGGCATATCGGTAACCAAACCGCAAAACAAAATATGTAATTGTAATTGAGACTAAAAGCGGTTGAGTTAGTGAGTGGAAAAGAGAGAGAAGAATAGAGATGATCTAACCGCAATTATGGCCTTGTCGCCACTAACGCCACCGACAAAACAGTTGGTATAGGATAGCGCACATAATCAGATGTTGCCATAAGGCAAAGCGGTGACATTTCCTTCAAATAAGCGACGCATTCTTTATAGACACTTTGGTAGCGATTACAAGCGTAACTGTAGTTATGCAACATGAATGCGTGAAGTCTTTGGAGCGTGAAAGTAGTGGAAATACCGCAAATGTTTGGTCGCTTACAACGCGTWTTGCATGTGCCTCATAACACTCTGCAACAGGTTGGAAAGCCAAAAGTGTTGACGCACAACTATTTTTTTGGAAAAGTAGGCAGTGTGGGCACTTCCGATACATTACAGCAGATAAAATAGATATAAGTAAATACGCTTAGGTGTGAATTTCCGTTACTTTATGGCGCGCCCACAAATGGCCACATAGTGGGTGTATCCAGCAATGCAACGATTAGCGGGGTGAAGCTTAAAATTTCATGACGTTCACGTCGTTAGTGGTATTTTTTTGATAATTAAAATGAAAAATTATATTTTTACTTTTAAAAATCGCAAAGTACACGTTTTGTTCTTAGATTTATTTAAAATTTCTCAGAAAGTCATAGTCATAGAAGTATGAAAGAAAATAGGCAACGTCGCATTTGACATTTAAGCAAAATGAAGATTACTTTATGGCATCTGAACTCTTTGTCAAATGAAGATTATTTCTATGTTATCCGAACTATTTCAGAAGCTTTTGGGCGACTAAAGTTCGGGAATTATATAGAAAACTCTTAAATAAAATATTTCCTATAACTGATAGAAAGATTGTTCTATCGATTAAAGCTAAAATTTCATTAAAGGAATTTCGAACTGGAATTGACATACGTTTTTGGTTTTTGTACCACAAAACTTAAATACTATACTTTTCAATTTGTTTTGATAATTATATAGACATGTTTAAAAAAAAATGCTTTTGGTACTCACTTTGTTTGCTGCTGTACTAAGTTATCCACTTTGGCCTGTAGGGCCTGCGATGTGGGTTGGTGAACTTCCCCAAGGAATGTGACGATTGATTTTGAGAGCGCCTCAATCTCTTTATGTGATGATTTAAGTTCTTCAGATTCGGCGAGTATTTCCTACAAAAATTAAGTGAGAGAGACGTAGGTTAATTTGTTTTAAGTTTTTATGAAAATAATCRTTAACTTATATATGTGAATATTTTYAATTTTCTTATTTTTATATATTATTCCTGTGGTGTTGCTACAAACATTTAATAGTACTTATATTTATAATTGATCGTCAAAATTAACCRTAAAATCGCCAGAAGATATGATAACCATATTTTGGAATAATGTTTCTGTACAAATTTTTTTATTAACGAATCCTTGTTAGAAGTTCGAAACTCCTTCGCCTATGTAGTCTGGTTGTAAYAAATCATTATTTTTTGACACTCTGCAAAATAAATCTTCAGATACCAATGAGCTCTGAATTGAAACGGGAATTTTTATGYTTGTTATTATTTTTAGAAATGAAATTTCCAATATTTCTTCCAACTACTTGAAAAAAAAAGTTGAGTGCTCTATTAACTTTTTTAACCCACCCTAATATATACACTTTAGATATATAGTGTTATCAAAGGTGTATTAATCAAATGTCACATATTAAGAATGCTGATACTAATAATTTCTCGAATAAGCTGAGCACGTGATTAATATTATATAAAATTKACTTCCAATTAACAGATGTGTATGAAATTGAAATAAATGTGGGCAAAAAGTAATAAGACTTTTTCAAATAATTTCGCTCGAAAACCAAATCGTCGAAATATTTTTCTTTACGTTTTTATGTACATAGATTGTCAGAGACATCTGTGTCACATTTCACATCAAAATAATCATTATAAGCTTGATCTTCTAAAGTGCATAAAGTGCATTCAGCGATTTTTACGTTGAGTGAAATTATTTAACAAAGAAGTTTCATYAAATTTGTGTGSCGCATCCMGTTTCTGGTGTCGAAAYGTTCAGAATGTTGGAAAAGATCTTCAGTGATAATAGTTGATCRGYGAAAATAATTTTGAAAGATMATTTGTGCCYAAGAAAAGTTAAAGSGCGACTGGTTCCAAAATTATTGAATTTTTTAGAAAAACAGGAAAAACAGCGTCCCAATAACGATAGTGTGGCAAAGCACTGCCARAATGTCATGAAACATACTACTACTGGCAATGAGTCTTGGATCTATGCTTAYGACCCAGAAACAGAAGATTAATCGGCCGAATATMGTRGCAAARGTGAGCCARAGCCGAAAAAACCTTCGGCGTGGTCAAAAATCACGTTTATGTTGACAGTTTKCTTCAATTATCGAGGTGTGGTGCATTCCCAAGTCGTTCCGACCGGCCAAAATGTCAACAAGGAGTACTATTTGAAGGCAAAAAAGTCGCAAARAACAATTGATCTTTAATAGGGTGTATTAGTGTGATAAATGAATCCTTACAGAAACTTGTAACTCGAAGTTAATTCAATATTTTAACAAACATGCGCTTTGCAAATTTTTATAGACAGTTCTATCAACCTAGATATTGCACCTTACACTTTGCACATTATACTTTGATCACAGTAGTATATTTTGAATTTCTTTTCTGGGAGATGACAGCAAAACTTATTCAATTACATAAAAGCTATTGTTGGGATTCCACAGACTTTTGCTCTCATCGCATCTTCAATTGGCTGATCAATTAAAAATGTGTTATCTACGCCACTAAATCGAATTTTTATTGGCATTAACAGACTTGAAACTATTTCATTTTCATTATTGTGAATTACACAACAATAACAAGATAATRCATTTGGTCAAAAAGTAATATACAAATATTTTGTTAAACTACTCATTTAATACTTGATATCTTTGGCTTGCCAAATTTACTCCAATTTATTTATTTATTTTATTTTTTTGTATTTTATTTTTTTTTTAACAATGAAAATTATTTATTTATTGGTTCTGTAAGTATTACGTGTGCTGCGTGACTATGCGATAGAGCAATGCAAGTGCATGTATATACCCAAATATACATATGTTCATATATGTATGGTATACATATATGAAAATATATACAGAAATATTGTAGAAGGCATGCGATTATAGCAGCAACTTCTCATTGAGTGCTTATTAAAATGAATTTATAATTTGCAACTGCTAAAATGATCATGTCAATGGCTTAAACACTTGTTCAGTCATGTTCACATATACTTACATATATACTATATGTAAATGAAGTTTAGATATGCATAATGTATACATACTCATTAGCAACCAAAATACTGAAATTTAAATGAAAAATTCTTTCGAGAGGCACGTCATAAGACTCAAGATCTCGCCATTGAACGCGGTGACACATCTAAGGCACTCAATTGTGCATATATACTATATACGTAAATATATACATATATGTATAACGGTGCGTTAAGATGTAGGCACACATATAGTGTTGTTACATGCTTATAAGGTTTTTAATGAGTGTCAACGACATTGTAATATTTTCGATTGGCCGTAAAAACTAAAATAGCTCAAAGCTCATTACACATGTTTGCGAAATACAAAAAAAAAAT